GATGCAACGAACATGAAATTGAGCCAACTTCAGAGGACGACAGAAGACAGGAAGGCCCATAGGGTCTGGTCCATGGGGTCGCGAAGAGTCAGACTCGACTGTGCGACTGAACAACAACAACAAAAATTCTGCATTCCCCCCCCCCCCGCCCCCCGCCAGTTCTGGGAGAGGATTCCAGCACAGTTTTTCGTCCTGGGACCTTCAAATTGTAATTGTACTCAACTCTCCAGTGGTTTAACAAAATCTGTGGCAGGGTATGCTGCGCTTTCGTGAGCTGCAAATTCTGTGAGTCTTGAAGGGGCTGCGGGACTCTTGCACTTTTCTACTGCTACAGAGAGATTAACAGGGTCACCCATCTCGATCTGTCTCCAGTGGACTGTGCCTTATGCGTGAACACATGCATCTGCCTTATGCTGAATCAGACCCTTGATCCATCCGGGTCACTCTTGCCTGATTCAAGTACCTGCCCTGTTGGCAAAGAGGGATGAATGCAGAATACAAGTGAGCTCCCTCAAGGGTAGAAAAGAGAAGAAGAGGAGGAGATTGGATTTATATCCTGCCCTTCACTCAGAGTCTCAGAGCAGCTTACAATATCCTCACCCTTCCCCTCCCCACAACAGACACTCTGTGAGGGAGGTGGAACTGAGAGAGCTCTTTCGAGGACTGCTCGTGAGAGAACAGCTCTGAGAGAACTTGCGACTGACCCAAGGTCACACCAGCAGCTGCATGTGGAGGAGGATTAGAGTCCGCTGCTCTTAACCACAACGCCGAACTGGCTCTCAGATACGTCAGTCTGAGCTTCGCTTCAGCTTGCCAGCCCTGGCCTGGTAAATTCGTGGAGATCTGGGCACATTGCCTGTGGTGGGGAGAGATTTCACCTAGAATATATGCTCGGCTATTCAGTCCTCCCTCTGAAGTGGCCATTTCCTCCAGGGGAACTAATCTCTACAGTCTGGAGGTCCGTTGTCGTGCTCGGAGAACTCCGGGACCCATCTGGAGTTTGGCCACATCCGCACTGCTGTGATAAACTCTGTCAAAACTTGGGCACTTTTAAAATTTCTGATTTGCATCTTTGGAGATCTGGGAAGGGCTGCTGCATGTGAGAGTTAGGGAGGAGAAGAAGAAGGAGAAGAAGAAGAAAAAGAAGAAGAGGAGTAGGAGGAGGAGGAGGAGGAGGAGGAGACTGGATTTATACCCTGCCGTTCACTACCCAAAGGAGTGGCTTACAAACTCCTTCCCCTTCCCCTCCCCACAACAGACACCCTGTGAGGTGAAAGAAGAAGAAGAGATTGGATTTATACTCCGCCCTTCACTACCCAAAGGAGTCTCAGAGCGGCTTACAAACTCCTTCTCCTTCCCCTCAACAGACACCCTGTGAGGTAGGCGGGGCTGAGAGAGCTCTTGACGGAAACTGCTCTTTTTCAAGGACAGCTCTGACAGAACTATGGCTTGCCCAAGGTCATCTAGCAGCTGCAAGTGGAGGAGAGGAGTGGGGAATCAAACCCAGTTCTCCCAGATTTGAGTCTACACACTTAACCACTACACCAATGGAGGACAGGGTGTGGGGTTGCCAGATCCAGGTTGGGAAACTCCTGGAGATTTGGGGGTGGAGCCTGGGGAAAACAGGGACCTCAGTGGGGGGCCATGCCACAGAGTCCACCCTCCAAAGATCCATTTCCTCCAGGGGAGCTGATCTCTGTGGTCTGGAGATGAGGTGTAATTCTGGGGGATCCCCAGGTCCCACCTGGAGGCTGGCATCCCTAGCCAAGAGTACATACACTTTCCTCCTGTGCTTATTCTGTGAGTTGACTCTCCAAAGCTGCAATTGATACTTGAAGGGAAACAGTCGAGTTCAAGCACCCGAAGCCATGCGTTTTCCTACAAGAGTTCAATTGTGGAAAAGGCGTGAGAGGGAAGGGGCGTACAGTTTCCCCCCAGCCTCTCTCTCTCTCTCTCTCTCTCCAAAGCAGGCACCTGAGGCTGCAGATTAATGTTTTACATGTGCTACTGAGCCTAGGCATCACCCCATTCAGGAAACTTCTGTGTCATCTCTGGTTTCTCCTGCCATGTGGAGAGAGATGTCAGGGAGCAGGCTAGGCTCATATGGAGCAGCCTTATACTGAATCAGAGACCATCGATCTGTAGAGGTCAGACTTGCCTACTCAGACTGGCAGCATCTTTCCAGGGTCTCAGGCGGAGGGTCTTTCACATCACCTACTGCCTGGTCCTTTTAACGGGAGATGCCGGGGATTGAACCTGGGACCTTCTGCACGCCAAGCAGAGGCTCTCCAATGAGCCACGGCCCCTGTTTACAGCTCTCCAGGGTCTCAGGCAGAGGTCTTTCACATCACCTCCCGCCTGGTCCTTTTTTAACTAGATGTGCCGGGGATTGAACCTGGAACCTCCTGCATGCTAAGCAGAGGCTTTTCAACTCAGCCATAGCCTCTCTTTACAGCTCTCCAGGGTCTCAGGCAGAGGTCTTTCACATCACCTCCTGCCTGGTCCTTTTAAACTGGAGATGCCGTGGATTGAACCTGGGAGTTTCTGTATGCCAAGCAGATGCTCTACCACTGAGCCACAGGACCTCGAACCCTACTCCATGACATACTTGCTTTCGACATGTGAAGAAGAAGAGAAGAGATTGGACTTATACCCCGCCCTTCACTACCAAAGGAGTCTCAGAACAGCTGACAAACTCCTTTCCCTTCCCCTCCCCATGACAGACAGACACCCTGTGAGCAATGTTCCCTCTAAACTGTGGAATCCTGTGAGCAAAAATGCTACTTTGTGAGCTTCTGGCATTAAAGTTGTGAGCAATTGATTTGGCTTAGCCTAAATCAGTTTGCTCTGGAGCCATCCTTCCTGAGCGAAGCCAAAAATGTGTGAGCCGGAGGCTAAAAAACTGTGAGCTAGCTCACACTAACTCAGCTTAGAGGGAACACTGCCTGTGAGGTAGGAGGGGCTGAGAGAGCTCTTTCCACGACTGCCCTTAAGAGAACAGCTCTGAGAGATCTTGTGACTGCCCCAAGGTCACTCCAGCAGCTGCATGTGGAGGAGAAGTGGGGAATCAAACCCAGTTCTCCAGATTAGAGTCTGCCGCTCTTAACCACGACACCAAACTGGTTATTTTGGTATCGAGTAGCACCCTCCCCAGCAGTCTGAAATGGCACAGACCAAGCACAGGGTGGCCCGGGAAGGAGGACATCAGGAGTTGGAGAGAGGCATGAAGGGGAGAGGATGTTTGCAGGTGTTTGCCTGTGATCTTGACACCTGGAAGTGACTCTGGGTGCAGCCTCTCCACCTCAGCTGTCCAAACGGTGCAGTGATCTCACTTTTTCTTCCTCTGCCAAAATACTAGAACTGGAGGGCATCCAATGAAGCCGATGGGCAGTAGGTTCGGGACGGACAAAAGGAAATACTGCTTTACACAGAGGGGGATTTAAGTGTGGCATTCGCTGCCAGAGGGTGTAGTGATGGCCACAGGAACAGACAGCTTTACAAGGGGATTAGGCAGATTTGTGGAGGAGAGGTCTATCGGTGGTCATGAACTATGGCGACTGAGAGGAACTTCCACATTCAGAGGCACTAAGTCTCTGAATTCCAGAGCCAGGAGGCAACACCAGGGGAAGACCTCAGCCTTTATGCCCTGGTGTTGGCTGTCCAGAGGAACTGGTTGGCCACTGGATGCTGGACCGGATGGACCCTCACTGGCCTGATCCAGCGGGGCTCTTCTGAAGTTCTTATCAGGGGAAGGCCTCGGCCTCTCTGCCCCGTTGTTGGCCCTCCAGAGGAACTGCTTGGCCACTGTGTGAGGCAGGATGCTGGACTAGATGGACCCTCACTAGTCTGATCCAGCAGGGCTCTTCTGAGGTTCTTATCAGGGGAAGGCCTCGGCCTCTCTGCCCTGTTGTTGGCCCTCCAGAGGAACTGGTTGGCCACTGTGTGAGATGGGAAGCTGGACTGCATGGACCCTCACTGGTCTGACCCAGCAGGGCTCTTCTGATGTTCTTATCAGGGGAAGGCCTCGGCCGCTCTGCCCTGTTGTTGGCCCTCCAGAGGAACTGGTTGGCCTCTGTGTGAGACAGGATGCTTGACTAGATGGACCCTCAATGGTCCGATCCAGCAGGGCTCTTCTGAGGTTCTTATCAGGGGAAGGCCTAGGCTTCTATGCCCTGGTTCTTATCAGGGGAAGGCCTAGGCTTCTATGCCCTGTAGTTTGCCCTCCAGAGGAGCTGGCTTGCCCCTGTGTGAGACAGGAGGCTGGAGTGGATGGACCTCACTGGTCTGATCCAGTAGGGCTCTTCTGATGTCTTTCTCAGAGGAAGGCCTCGGCTTCTCTGCCCTGTTGTTGTCCCTCCAGAGGAACTGGCTGGCCACTGTGTGAGACGGGAGGCTGGACTAGATTGACCCTCTCTGGTCTGATCCAGCAGGGCTCTCCTGACACTCTCCTCAGGGGAAGGCCTCGGCCTCTCTGTCCTGTTGTTGGCCCTCCAGAGGAACTGGCTGTCCCCTGTGTGAGACGGGAGGCTGGACTAGATGGACCCTCTCTGGTCTGATCCAGCAGGGCTCTCCTGACACTCTCCTCAGGGCATGGCCTCGGCCTCTCTGTCCTGTTGTTGGCCCTCCAGAGGAACTGGCTGTCCCCTGTGTGAGACGGGAGGCTGGACTAGACGGACCCTCACTGGTCTGATCCAGCAGGGCTCTTCTGGTATTCTTATGTACCTACACTCTGCTCTGTGGGTCTCTACCCCAAAATATGCTGGAATTTCCCAAGCCAGACCTGGCAACCCCATATTGCACCAATCCGGGGTGGGGTGGGGTGCCGAGGCCCCTCAAGACACCAGAGCAGTCCGGCTTTGTCTGTAGTTGTCATTTAATTTCCGTGACAGGAACACACTCACGCGCACACGCAGCCACACACAAGCACACGTCACATTGACATTTGGTAAACAGTCTTTGAAATCCCCCTTTCCAAAGAGCAGCCCCGGGGAGGGAATTCAGTGTGAGTGGGAGGACAAGAGGGCGGGAGGAGCGTGGATCGGGGCCTTCTTTCGACACTCTCGGCTGGTTTCTCTTTCGTTGTGATCGTTGTTCACCCCGAGGACGACTTAAGGACTCGGCTTCTTGCTGGGTATCGCACTGTCTTTCCTCTCCAGCCGCATGTAAGGCTCAAAGGCGGAAGTCCCCAGTCCGTAACCAGTCGGCAATTCGTGCAGGCTCCCCAGCAGCGGGCCGCTGAAACAGAGCGGGGTGGCGGGGAGCCGTGGGGAGGCCGAGGAGGCCAAGGTGGGGACCTGCAAGCTGAAGCCCCCCGTCCCGGGAGGGCTTCCCCCGCCGCTAAGCCCTGGCGAGGTGTTTCCTGATGTCCCCATTGAGGACCCGTTGCCGGAAGAGGAGCCGATGGGGTTGGACGTGGGGGAGAGCAACGCCGGAGGCGCCGGGACGGATAAGAGCCTCCCTTGTTCCAGGAGTCGCAGGATGTTGCAGGTGGCGAAGGACTCGGAGGTGGAAGAGGCCCGCTTTTCAGAGTCCTTGCTCTGGTCCTTTTTCTGCTTGGTGCGGCGATTCTGGAACCAGACCTTAACCTGGGGTGGAGACGGAGGGGAGAGAGAAGAGATGGTCACCACCAGACGCCAGGCCGCACGTCAAGCCCCCACAGCCATGCCAACCAAAGGAGGAAAAAGAACCACAAGTCAAAGCCTCCATTCACACGTGCATGGAATCATCAGCATCAGGGGCCATTTCCGGCTGGAGCATCTCGGAGCGGCGCTCCGGCAGTAAGGAGCCCGAACCCCACCACCACCCACAGAGAGACTCAGGGAGGGGGGATTTAAATGCTCACCTGGAGAAGATTGGGCAGGGAACCCAGGCATGTCTCCCTTCCTGCCCTTCCCGTCTCCAGTCAGCCCACCCGCCTGAGCCTCTCAGGGAAGGGGGGATTTAAACTCATTTGCATATACCTTAGCTCATTTTAAACATGCCTGCCCTTTGTCAGGGGGTGTGGCAGATGCAAATGAGTTATGCAAATGAGCTCCTGCACCTCTTTTTCTAGGAAATGACCCCGATGATGATGATGATGATGATGATGATGATGATGAAGATGAAGGAGTCTCAGAGTGGCTGACAAACTCCTTTCCCTTCCCCTCCCCACAACAGACACCCTGTGGAGTAGGTGGGTCTGAGAGAGCTCTTGACAGAAATGGCTCTTTTTCAAGGACAGCTCTTATCAGAACTATGGCTTGCCCAAGGTCATCCAGCAGGTGCAAGTGGAGGAGTGGGGAATCAAACCCGGTTCTCCCAGATTAGAGGCCGTGCACTTAACCACGACACCAAACTGGTTCTCATGATGATGATAATTGTGTGCCATCAAGTTACCCTGAGCTGGCTGGCCCAGGCTCGCCCGGTTTTATCAGATCCTGGAAGCTAAGCAGACTCGGCCCTGGCTAGTCCTTGGATGGGAGACACCCAAGGAAGGGAGTCCAAGGTTGCTCCGCAGAGGCAGGCAATGGCAAACCACCTCTTTTCGCCTCTTGCTTTGGAAAGCTTACAGGGGCTGCGATCATACGCAGAATTAGACCCGACATAGGTGTGAATACCAGGTGGATTTAAAGGGTGAGATCAGACAACAACATCTGGGAAGCGCCCCGCAGCCGTCGGCAACCCATTCTGCTCCGCCACAGAAGCAGAGTTAAAAGACACCGGGGGAAACTCGGTAGTAGATAGGTTGCGACGGGCCACCGACGGACTTTCCCCTGTCGGATCACTCCAGCGCGCTCTCATGCCATCGGGATGGTCTGATCAGGCCATCCCGACTCTGTGCCGTTGGTTCCCCCCCCCTTGCAGTATGCGCATCATCACAAACTCCATCGGGAGCCCTCTGTGCGGAGGTGCGGTTCATCGATTCCTTGTTTAAGCACTTGGGAAACAAATGGCACAAAAAAGAGACTTAATTAAAAAAATTAGATAAGCATCTGGAGCAGAGGTCCATCAGTGGCTGTGAGCCACAAGTTATAGATAGGAACTCTCCGGCTGGGGCAAGGGATGCTCTGTCTTCTTGGTGCTTGGGGGGGGCAACAGTGGGAGGGCTTCTGGTGTCCTGGCCCCACTGGTGGACCTCCTGATGGCACCTGGTATTTTTGGCCACTGTGTGACATAATAGTGTTGGACTGGATGGGCCACTGGCCTGATCACACATGGGCTTCTCTTATGTTCTTATTTCTGTGACAAGGGATGCTCTGTATTCTTGGTGCTTTTGGGGGGGTAACAGTGGGGGGCATCTAGTGCCCTGGCTTCACTGCTGGACCTCCTGATGGCCGCTGGTATTTTTGGCCACTGTGTGACACAGAGTGTTGGCCTGGATGGGCCACTGGCCTGATCCAACATTGGCTTCTCCTATGTTCTTATGACTCCCCCGCAGTTGTGTCTGATCACACACTGACGGACTGCGCCGACAGCTTCAAAGGGCGGTGTGATCTTGCAACTGCAGGTAAAATTCCTCCGGAAGAAATAGCGTTGCCCCCCCTATTTCATCTGGCCTTGCTCCATTGAACCCCATCATCTGACAGGGGCTTTTCTGTGGTTGGGCCTCATTGAAGGATTCCCCCCCCCCAGCAAAAATTCTCCCACTATCTTCTTAAGCCACTTAGAAGAAGAAGAGATTGGATGTATACCCCATGGCCCTTCACTACCCGAAGGCGTCTCAGAGTGGCTGACAAACTCCTTTCCCTCCCCCTCTTCACAACAGACACCAGGTGAGGGAGGTGGGGCTGAGAGAGCTCTGACAGAAACAGCTCTTTTTCAAGAACAGCTCTGACAGGACTATGGCTTGCCCAAGGTCATCCAGCAGGTGCAAGTGGAGGAGTGGGGGAATCAAACCTGGTTCTCCCAGATTAGAGTCCGTGCCCTCAATCACTACACCAAACCGGCTCTCCGTTCCCTACAAACTCCTTTCCCTCCCCCTCCCCACAACTGACACCCTGTGAGGTCGGTGGGGCTAAGAGAGCTGTGACAGAAACGGCTCTTTTTCAAGGACAGCTCCTTATCAGAACTACGGCTTGCCCAAGGTAATCCAGCCAGGTGCAAGTGGAGGAGTGGGGAATCAAACCCAGTCCTGCCAGATTAGAGTCTGCGCACTTAACCACGACACCAAACAGCCTTCGGACTTTTAAAAAACACTGCCGCTTCCGCTGTTTTGTTAGCCAGTCTGAGCCTGGTTAGTCTTTGGATGGGAGGCTACCAAGGAAGCCCAGGGTTGCTGTGCAGAGGCAGGCAATGGTAAACGGTCTCTGCTTGTCTCTTGCCCTGAAAACGTTACAGGGTTGCCGTGCCTCGGCTACGCTTTGACCACCTGTTCTTCGTTATGCCCTGAGCAGGATAGCCCAGGCTATCCCAATCGCAGAAGCGAATCAGAGTCGACCCGGGTTAGTACTTGGTTGGGAGACCCCCAAGGAAGTCCAGGGTCGCGACGCAGAGGCAGGCAAGGGCACAGCACCCCTGTTAGTCTCTTGCTTTGAAATGCCCTACCCAGGATAGACCAGGCTTGCCTGATTTCGTCAGCTCTTCGGAGCTAAGCAGGGGCAGCCCTGGCTAGTAGTCAGATGGGTGACCTCCAAGGAAGACCAGGGTCACGACGCAGAGGCAGGCAAGGGCAACCCACCTCTGTGTGTCTCTTGCCTTGGCCATCACACCGGGGGGGGGGGGTCACCATTAGTAAGCTGTAAGTTGACAGCACAGAGCTGTTACACCCTGACCCGGATGGGCCAAGCTAGCCTGAGCAAAACAGGTCTCGGAAGCTAAGCGGGGTCCGTCCGGGTTAGTACGTGGATGGGAGACCACCAAGGAATCCCAGGGTTGTGACGCAGAGGCAGTCGAGGGCAAAGCACCTCCACACATCTCTCGCCTTGAATATCCCTTGGGGCCACCATGTCCACTGTGACTTGATGCAGTTCCGCAGGGCCTGCAAGACGGAGCTCTTCCGCCAGGCTTTTATATAGGGGCCGCCACCTCTGCCACCTCTATTACTACCATCATTGGAACAACGGGGTTGGGAGTGGTCCCCAGAAGAACTGCCATAATTCTGCATGGCACGGATGCTGCTGGACTGGCTTGGACCATCGACGGGACAATTTCGCCCTAATGAAATGATCAGGGCTATTTTTGGGCAGGAACGCACAGGAACGGAGTTCCGGCTGGCTCCTGAGTTGGCCATGCCCAGCAGGAACTCATTAGCATAATAGGCCACACCCAACAGCAGAAACTCATTAGGATTGGCTACATTAGAGGTGTGTCGCCTAACATGCAAAGGAGTTCCTGCTACAAAAAAAGCCCTGATTTTGACAACAAACAAGGTAAACAGAATAAGAAGCAAAAGGTGGGTGTGGCTGGATGAGCACACTTCTGGTAACATGGGGGTGTGGCCTCATATGCTAATGAGCTATGCTGTCAGGGGTGTGGCCTAATATGCTAATGTGTTTCTGCTGCTGGGGGTGGCCAATAATGATATTGAGTTCCTGCTGGGCTTTTCCTACAAAAAGAGCCCTGATCGATACCATCTTCAGAGACCATCTTGTTGTATGGAGCACTTTATTTGTTTTTGTTGTGATTTAATACCTTTTAATGTTTTATACTGTTTTTATGTATGGGCTTGTGCCCCCGTGTAAGTCCGCCCTGAGCCCGTTCGCGGGGAGGGCGGGGTAAAAATGCAAAAAATAAAATAAAATAAATAAAAAATCTGATGTCAAAACCAAAGTATTTTTGAACTAATAAATGAATAAGCTCAGTTAATGGACATGATTATTTACAGGGGTCCTTTCGTAGAAAAAGAGGTGCAGGAGCTCATTAGCATAACTCATTAGCAGAACTCATTTGCATATGCCACACACACCCTGACATCACCAAAAGTGTGTCAGAAGGCAACACCCACCGCTCAGGCGCCATTGGACTGTTTTGGATTGCTAGCTATTGGGGGGGGGACGTGCAGATCTGTCATCACAGAGGAGGGAGAGCTTGTACCTGAATAAAACTTGGTCTTAAAGGTGTCACTGGACTGTCTTGGATTGATAGCTATGGCGGGGGGGATGCGCAGATCTGTCCTCACAGAGGAGGGAGAGCTTGTACCTGAAGGCGGGCGGAGGGGGGGCTCTGCAACTTACCTGGCTGCTTTTTGCTCCTCGTGGCCCGACTGAGGGCTGCTGGGAGCAGGGGGTGGGGCTTGTTGCATGTGCCTGCCCCCTGGGCTCCTTACTGCCAGAGCTCCGCTCCTGTGCGCTCCCACAGGAAATGACCCCTGATTATTTATATCCTGCATTCTTCCTAACAGGGAACCAAAGTGGTTTATAATACAAAATAAAATGCAACAGGAACAGAGCATAAGGAAGTCTCTCTCTCTCTCTCTCTCTCTCTCTCTCTCTCTCTCTCTCTCTCTCTCTCTCTCTCTCTGTCTCCTTCTTTTCCCCTCCCTAGCATTAGGTGTTGATGAGGGAATCTGCTGAGAACTGGACACTGTTTCACCTGCAGATGAGGCTTCAGGTCTCCCGTCATGTAAAGGGCTGGACATGTATAGGAGAGGCTTGGATTCTGACTCTTT